GGCCGCCTCGGCGTGCGCTGCCCCTGGACGTCCTCTGCGCCCTCGGGGCGCGGGCTCCCCAGCCGCGGCCCGGTGTGGCCCCTTGTGACCGTTTCACCATCCCACCATCTTTGGGGCTGGAAGGATTCCTACTCCCGCTTGAGAGAGGCTGTGAGCGTGCCGTCTACATCCGTGGAAGCGCGTGTGGACTCTTGGAAAGTTGTGCGTGTGCGTGTGTGTGTGTGTGTCCAGGCAGCTGGGCAGAAACAAACCCCAGAGCTGTTCCTCCCCAAACTACCACCCTCCGGCCCGGGAAGCAGGAGGCAGTCCGGCTGTGGCCGGCAGCTCCCAGGAAGCCCTCAGGGCCCCTGGCTGGGGGTCCAGCCCTATCTCCTCCCGGAACACCCCGCAGAGTGGTCGCAGGCCGAGGAGGAAGTGCTCCGGCTCCGCAGCGTGTGCTGGCAGGGGTCTGCGGGTCTGCCTGTGCAGGGGCGCTGGTGTAGTTCCGGGGCGTCCGGGTGTCTGGGGACCATCCAGATGTGACTCTGCACGCCCAGTCTGTGTGCTGTGTGTTTGGAAACGTGTCTGAGTGTGTATTTGGGCTCCTGAGCCTCTCCGCCTGCTTGTGTGTCTGCATGTGCATGCCCTCTGTGTGTGAGTACTGGACAGGCTTCCGTGTGTGGCCGTGTACTTTGGTGTGCCATTACCACCACAACCCTCATGGCCCTCTGCCTGCACCTTTCTGGCTACAAGAACCTGGCAGGATTCAGTGGCGAGCGGCCGGCCGTGGGGTGGTAGGTGGCTGTGGAGGAGGAGACGGGCCTGGGAGGGGCCCCCTTCGGCTCACATTTCAGCAGAAGCGGGGAGGCCAGGGCAGCCCAGTTCTCACCTCAGTGACCTCTGCTTCTGCTGCCCGCTGCCCACCCACGAGGGCCGCGTCCCTGCTCCACCAGCCCTAAGCCTGGGGATGCAGGAGTCAGGGCCCAGCCCCTGGCCAGCTCAGCGGGGGCTGCAAGAACGGTCCGGTCAGCCCGGTCGTAGTAGGTTTCCCGGGCTGCACTCCTTCCTGGCCCCGGGTCCTGTGGGGGGTTGCTGGGCATGTGCACAGGGTGAGTAGATGTGTGGTGTGGGTATCTGCATCACAGGTTTGCCCAAAGCATCTGTGTGCACATGTGCATGTGTTTACGTGTGTCTGATTTGGATTTGTGCAAGTGGGCACGAGCGTGTGCTGTGCACAAATATGTATGTAGGGATCTGCACTGTAGAGGCTTACGTACACTGACCGTTTGGACACTTACGTAGTGAGCGCGTCTGCCTGTAACTTTTTGTGAGGGGGTAAGCACATTGTGTGTGTGTGTGTGTGTGCGTGTGCGTGTGCGTGTGCGTGAGTGTCTTCATTCCCCCCATTTCACATATTACGTGAGGCTGACTGAAGGCTCTGCCCTGGGTGCTAGAGATGTGATTCGGAGGTTCCTGTGAGCTTTGTGTTTGTGTGGGAAACAGATGGCTGGGATACCAAAGCCTTCCTTCTTCACTCCTGCGTGACCTCAGCGTCTTGGGTAATGTCTGTGAACCTACAAGGGCGCCTCCGCCCCTTGCAGATGTATCAGGAGCCTGCTACCCTGTGAAGACCCGCTGCTGATCAGCCATGTACCTCACACCCTGGCCTTCACTCTCCGACTCGCTTCTCCCTGTGGAAGAACACCGCTTCCTCCTTAGGGCCGTGCGGGGGCTGTTGAGGCTCCTGGGTGCAAGCAACAGTGGCTGTTGGATGTGACATCTAGTCCAAGTTTTTATTCTTATCACAGAATATAAATACTGCCGTTACGGAGCAGAGTCCTTGACAGTAGGACAAGAGACAGAAAATAAAGAAGCTCATGCTCCTGAGAATTGCAGCGAAGCAAGAGGAGGGGGAGTTTGTGCACACACACGCACGCTCATACACACAGTATGTACACACCTGCACTCACTGTCTTCGTCATGATCCAGAAGACCAGGCTTCACCTGGTGTCAGGGTCCTCTGAAAGATCCCCTGCTAAGAGGACGGCCGAGTCAGTGTCCACCGCTTAGCACGTCCCTGTTTATTACCATAATGCTTTGCTGCTGTTTCAGAGAGAGAAGTAATACCGCACACCTCCTGTATGCCAGCCAGTGTGCCTTGTGCTTTAGACACCTTGACTCGGTGGATTCTGCCCAAGACCCCGCTTTAATTACCCCCTCTGCTCATGGTTCTGGGGATCGAGGCTTGCATGCACTCTGCCGCTGAGCGACAGCCCCAGCCTCATAATTATTCTCATCTTGAAGATGGGAAAATGAGGCCCAGAAAATATAAGAAATTTGCCAGATTTACCTAGACAATCCTTTAGGTACCACGGAGGAGTAGCAGTGGGGATCCATCTTCTCTCTTGCTCCAAAGCCCTTCCCAGTAATCACAAGCTGTATCCTCAGCCAGAGTTCAAGTCCCTGCAAGGCAGGACTGGGGTCTGGAACCTTTACTGGGTCTTCCTCTTGCTGGAGCAGCATGGGGCATGGGCGTGTGGGAGGAAGGAGCCCTGCTCCCAGCCCTGACCCTTCTCAGGGAGTCGAGCAAATGCAAGTTGGTGTCACAGGCTGGGCAGGAGGGGCGCTGGGCTCCAGGTCAGGCCAGCCCCTGCTCCCCACACATCTCCTGTGCGTTAGTCCTGCTGTTCGTCTGAAGCATTTGCCCTAATCTATCCCAACTCTTGGCTTCTGCTTCCCGGCTCATTGTCCCATCATGGTCTAGTCTTTGCAAAGTCTTTGCCTTCTGAAGTTGTGCCTTCCTGTAGCTTTCCTTCTCCTAAGAACAATTCAGCATCTGCCTCTGGGAAGCTCTCTCAGTGGGTAAGAATCTAGTCTTTCTGAACTTTGTCCCTGAGCCCTGGGCCTGGGTACACCCACAAGTGGCTGAGAAATGGCCCATCCAAGGACCAAATCCTCCCATCCTAGCCGGCAGAGAGCAGCCAGGCGCAGCTCTGAGCCAGGGGCAGCTCTGAGCCAGGCGCAGCTCTGAGCCCGGGACCTCTACGGGCTGCGCATGCTTTAGAGCCGGTAGCTGCCCAAGATCACCAGCAAGGAGACGCTTGTTGTTCTCTTCTGCTTTCTCCTCCGGCCTGCTGGGCTGGGAGTTCCTGCGGACGCGCCCACCTCAGTCCTGAGTCCTTCTTTTGTCCACACCCTGTTCCAGGCAGGGTCCAGTGGCTTCCCGGCCACCAAACCTGAACAGGAAGCCCTTCGTGCAGGTTCCACAGCACCCGGGACTGCCCCTCCATAGCGGCACCTGGTCCTCAGCATCGTCACTGCCCAGTTTCTCATCTGCTTGTCCTAAAACTGTAAGATCTAAGAGGGCAGAGGTTGCGTCTCTTGCTTACTTGTGTGTCTAGCGCCTCGCTCAGCTCCTAGTAAAGTGCACAGCAGAGGGTTAGTTAGCACATGCTGAGTTGGACTAGTCTCCGAGACGCCTCTCCAACCACAGGGAAAGGGCCCCAAACCTGCCCACTCCTTACTCCCGTGCCCCTCGGAGGGACCCCTCCTACGCCATACGCAAGACCTTTCAACTTGGGTGGGCCTCGAGGGGAAGGGGTATGGGAGAACCACTTCCCATTACTGTGTGATCGTGTGCTGGCTGGGTCACCGAAACCCTCCCGGCCCACAGGGGACCAGGCTCACGCCTCCAGCCAGACACCAGAACCTAGTGGGAGGCCTGGGGTGCGGTGGAGTGGGAAAGCGGCCCAGAGATGAGCCCAAGGGTGACCACAAGCTCCCAGGGTGGGAAACAAGATGGCACCCACCACCGAGGCTGGGAACCAGGGAAGCCAGGAGCAGTGCCCACGGCCTTGTCCCCGGCCTCTGGGTTAGCGTGTTGTCACCAAAGGAATGGAAACCTGTACTTTGGGAACTTGGCAGCTAGGGCTGGGTTTTTCATGTTTTCTGTAATTATTTCTCTTTTGCTCTCCCTTAGTATTTAGTGAAGCCCTTTGTGAAGATGCCAGCTGGTCTCAGCTGTGCTAAGAGGGATGACAAGGGGACTCTGCATGCTTGGCCTGGTGCTTCCATGGAGGGTCTAGCTCAGTGGTGGCGGCAAAGTCAGGGACCACCAAGGGGCCAGGGAGGTCCTGGGGCCACCTCACAGCTAGCGTCTTCCTGACCCGAGTCTCCTAGACTCTTCGGGGCTGTAGCCCCAATGCCTGGGCTTTACTGAAGCCAGAGGGTCTGGAGGGTTGGCCGACCCCGCTGCTCTGAGGGGGGCGTTTGGATCCCAGTGGTGTGAGATCCGGAAGGCAGGCACCTGCTGTGCTCCGTCTCCCCATCTGCTCCGCACGCTGCTGTTGAGGAGTCAGGCTGGTGAGCCCGTGCTGGTCGCCGCCCGCCCTTCCCTCCTGCTGTCGCAGCTCTGGCCCCCTCTGAGTGTCCGTGGTCTCCTGTAAGCCTGCACCCTCCGGGGGTGGACACTCAGCCAGTCCCTTCCCACCTGCCTGGGACCCACCGCGTCTTGTTTCCTGTGACTGCGTCCCTC